CGGGGCCAGGGCTGACACACCAGCCCTCCTCTAGCCTGGCCACAGCTCCTGGATGCTGGAGGGTCCCAGTACAGGACAGACAAACAGACGTGCAGGGGCTGGAGAGGCTGTGATGGCTCAGGGCTGCCAGGAGCCGTGTTTGGGCTGTGATCACAGCAGCAGGGAAGTCTCTTTTCCAAAGGCCCTTCAGGCTGGGCTTCCCACTGTGCCAAATCCCTCCTTCCAGCCCAGTCCTTCCAGTCCCAGCCTTTGGATTGCCATAAAAGGAGACAGACTGTTTCTCTCCAGAGCCTGTTTTTCCCCTGCACCAGGAGGAGGGCTTGACCTGGCACAGGAGTTTCCTTGGAGGGCAGAAACATCCAGCAGCATCCCCCTGCCAGCCCCTGAGCCCTGCATGGCATGGGAGCCCACCAGCCCCTGCTGCCCCTGTGCCAGATCCCATGTCAGATCCCACTCAGGAATAACACAGCACTGGCTACAATTCCTCTGGGTCCCCCATCCCTTGTCAAACACAGCAGCTGGCAGACCCTATCTCTGGGACTCCCCAGCCCTGATTTTTGGGGGCAGCACTCCCTGCTCCACAGCCAGGGCATTCTCAAGCATACTCTGTGGTTTGGAGCCTCCACCACACATTTTTTTCCCCTCACAACAGCAGCAGCAGCAAAGGAAGAGGCTTTGTTTGTCCTGAACAGCAGAGCTCATCTGCCCAAAGCAAGACATGAGCCCTGGGGACACTTCCTCTGACCTGCCTGTAAGTCTATGGGAGGAGAAAAGGTGCTCCAGGGTGAAGCACGTCTGGCATTTGGCACAAGAGGAGTCCAGGTCCTTTCACCACTTATTTTCCTCCACCCACTATGGGAAGGCTGCAGGTGCCTCCACACAGCTTAAATGATGTCACAGTGATTTTGGCAGGTAACTCTCACCAGGAAGCACAGATGTAGCCCCAGCAAAGCCACATCCCAGCAAGACCTCCTGGCACACATCAGGATGGATTTTCTGAGGGGTGAGACCATGAAAATAAATTTGTTCTGGGGATTCATGTGAGAGCTCACAGCTGGGCACAGAGAAAGCCTGAGATAGACTAAAGTTGCTGGGAATTCCCTCCTAGTCCACACCATACAGAGCACATGCTGAGAGCCTGGCAGGCCACACAAAAGTAGTTTGTGCTACAGGTAAGTATGAGCAGGAAAACAAAGGAGTAGGAGCACTCTGCACCCAGAGCCTGTCTGGGACCTGCTCCAGCTGTCTCAGAAGCAAAGTCCTTACAACAGCCATGTAGACAGAGCTATCAGCCCAATCCCCTAAGCAATGACCACTCTGAGATATGTTGAAGGGTTTGCAATCCTTTCAGCATTTTTTTCAGAGTCCTTTGCAGATTTTGCCCCATTGCAACACTCAGTGACCACAGTCACACTTCTCCTAGTCACTGCAGTGCACAAGGAGGAACAGGAGGTGACTGTCCTGCAGCCAATGACCTCACTGAGCACAGGCAAGGGAGACATCCAGGGCTGCCAAAACCCAAGGCTCTTTTCCTTCCTCCTGCAGCTCCACAGCTCATGGAGCTCAACTCTGCAGCAAACACATCCAGAGCCTTACAGACCCATCCTCAATGCAAGCCAGGGCTCAGCCCCAGAGCTGCTCCATCATCAGCTCTGGATAAAGGAAGGGGCCTCAAAAACCAGGATCCCTTAGCAGCAGGTGTACTGTTGAGGAGCACAGGCACAGCTGAGGCTAGTGCAGAACCACACAAAGCTGAATGCTTTTTGGAGATTAACTCCAGTCTGATGTCATTGCAGAAGTTCAGCTCTCCAGGACAAGGCCAGGTTGGATGGGGCTTGGAGCAACTTGGGCTGGTGGAAGGTGTCTCTGCACATGGCAGGGGGTGGAACTGGATAATCTATAAGGTTGCTTTGAACCCAAATCAGACTGTGATTCTATGTGCTGGTTTAGCTGTGATATTGGGAAGGAATTCTTCCCTGTGAGGGTGCTGATGCACTGGCACAGGTTGCTCAGAGCAACTCCATCCCTGGGAGTGTGCCAGGCCAGGTTGGATGGAGCTTGGAGCAACTTGGGCTGGTGGAAGGTGTCTCTGCACATGGCAGGGGGTGGAACTGGGTAATCTTTAAGATCCTTCCATCCTAAACCATTCCCTGGTTCTATGAAATGTGAGCTACATTCTCCCCCACGTTTCAGATGGGATGTGTTGCATGAGTTCAGGAGACAGTCTAAGCTACCCTGACCAACCAGGCATAAACCAATATGGAACCAGTATGTCCTGGTGCTTTGGGATGTCACCCAAACCTGGGCTGTAAGGAGAAGCAGTGAGCAGGTGCAGCCATCAGGCAGCAGGAACACACTGTCACCCTCTCCTCAGAGTGGGCTAACAGAACAGTGTGCTCATGTCATTCACACCACAGGTGACAACCTCCATCCTTCCTGCCTGCAAGCAGCCGGTTTGTAACTGCTGGAGCAGCACCCATGGCCATGTGGACACAGCTCCATGGCCACAGGAGCACTCAGAGCAGGGCAGGTTCTCCCCCTGCACCCTCCAGTAAACATCCCTGCAGCCACCAAGATGTCAATTCAACTGTTTGACCTTCTGCAACAGCTGGAAAACCTTTCCCACACATGTGGCCTACTAAAATACAGCAGTAATTAATTGCAGAGCAATTACTTTGTGCTTGAAGATCACTGAGGAACAGAAAACTTGTGCTGGCCCATGTATAAGGTTCTTTCTTATCCCCAGTGAGAGTGTTAATACAGGTGAATGAAAGGAGAACACTATCAGAGCTGCATAAATTCACTCCTAATGATGCTCAC